CATACCGACAGCAGTGGGCGTTTTGTTTACGATTCCAACGAGCGTGCTGGGTTCTTGCATTATCTATTATAACCTAGACTGAAAGACTGCTGCTAAAAAAAAAAAAAAAGGCTAGCCCTATAGACGAATGGAAAATTCATTGCATATTACTGTATATGCCATCATAAACCATTATTTATTAATGTAAAAATCTTATTCCATGAGTAACCTTCAATCCGTGAGTTTTTGTTCATCCGTAGTAAAACTGGCAAATGATAAATTATCCACGCGTCTCACGGTCAATCCGTATTTAAGTTGGCAACTATGAGACTACTAAAGTCTTCAATGTACAGGAAGTCTATGCATGTGTGTGTGGAACAAAAATTAAAGTATATTTTTGTGTATTTCATCATCAGAAATAATAATTAATTGATAATGTGGCTGTTAGCTTATTAATACTTTCTGTTTAGTGTACAGTATGGATGCACCATTATGGTGATAGTTTGCTGTTAGGAAAACATTTTCCAATTAGATATTATTACTATTTTATATTTGATATATTTGATAATGATAATTCTTCTGATTTATTCTTGTTCCATGGGTGCAGTAATGGTTTTTACATTGCTCTCCATCATGTCAGGTTCTATCCTGTATTGATTAGTATATGTCTAAATCCTGTTTGACATCAAATAATAGCACACTTCTGAGAAGCCAGGATACAACAATTACTGTAAAAGGAACAATTGCCATTATATTGTGCTGTATCTACAGTATAAAGCCAAGATACAGTACAACAATAACATTCAGCATCGGCCTACATACAAACACCTTGGGTGCCTTTGTCTCATTGATCCGACTCGGACTAGTAACGGTACAACAGATGCAAATATTATTTTCTAGGTTGTGGCTATTTGTACACCAGTCGAAAACCAATTCTACCTGTAGGCTACTTTTATGTTTATGTGTCATATTATAAAACAAATGCATTGAAGATGATATAAGGTCATTCTCAAGAATACATTAATTTATTAAGTTTGGAAATACAAACCAGTCATAAAGATGTTGCAGCATTTTTTATAGGAAATAATTCTTGTTTAACATTAGTTTATCAAGTAGCCTAATTGTTACTGTACATTGCATAATGCTGTAACATTTTTTTAACCATATTATAGGGATGACCCTTCCAGCGTATCCTAGTCAGGGGCCCTCTTAAATAATGATGTAATGCTTGTATCAGCGAAGTCTCTTCATGAGGCTTAGGGAGTGGAGTTGTTTTACTCGTCAGAAAAAAGTCCTGCTGTTACTATTCAAACCATTTGATGTTTTGTGATTACTTACTACGGAATGTGAGTTTGTTGACTTGAAGTTGCTCAAGCGCACATAACACAAAATATCAAAATTATTTGTGGAAAACTGCATGGATTTTAGCCCTGTGGTTACCATTTTATCAAACACTGAGTGATGATTAGTTATGAACACTAGAATTAGACCGGGGGGCGGATTGCTATTTAAGCAGTCTTTAGATGGTCTTAATGCTTAGCCGGCTGTAATCGAGAAATCACTTCTGGTCTATGATTACAGACTATATTGCTATACCGCGGTCTAATTAGTTAGCTGTCTGAAATTTTAAAGCCTACTTGGAGGAGGCTTAAGACAGTCTTAAATCATTTTCATCATGGCGTTACCTAGGACTAAATCGTCAAAGACTAAGATTCGAAAGGTGAATATTTCGCAAACTTCTACGCATCTGTAAAAACTGGTCTTCTTTTATTTACTTTCATTTTGATACATGTGAATTGTTTATACATGCATCAAAGTGTGACGCACATGTGACAGCGCCCTCAATTCTGTGTTACCAGGGAGTGCCTGTTAGCATTTCAATACTCATCACAGTTGAAGCGAAGACTGTTTTACAGCAATGGTCTTAGCAGAGTAACGTTAGTAACCGTGTAAGTGATAAAGCCGGCTTTAATCGAGGAGTTCCAGCAAGTCTACCAGTTAAGACCGTTTTACAGCAATCCGCCCCTGGGCTCTATATACGGATCCAAGTATAGTGGTTATTCTCTCTGCTATAGATGCCATTGGTGCGGCTTCCGACAAGGAGATTCTCACGCATCTTCTGATACATACGGTATTTTGCGGTTGCTCTACTCTTATAACATTGATCCACAACATGCATGAAATCCATGTGAAAGAACCCTGTGAAGGCCCAACTATGGTGGTAACAACGGAGGGTTCCCTTTTCGAGAACTATTAATTGGATTGCACAAAGAATAAAAAACAACTAGATTCTTGACCGAACGACTATCAACCTTGATTTATTATTAATTATTGTCAAATGTTCTTGGGCAACACAAGCACTCTTTACTGGCCCTATCCTAACTTTTCTGTTTGAAAACCTTGCTTTATTCATTAGTCTATAGTACTAAATCTATTTTCCCACCATATAGTATTTAACGTGGGTAATCAATCCAAAGAAACTCATCATTTGGGACCATCGATGCCATTACAGACATCTTGGGATTGGAAGGCGAGAATCTTAACCAAAAATCCACAGTAACATGGACATTTCAATCTCAAATTCAAATTACTATCTGCCATGTATTATGATTAATCTGGTGTTTTGTCCTTGAAATGTGCAATTTCTGTAAATAATATCTAATAAACACCAACTGAAATTCCGAATAGAAGAAAATTATGAATATTTTACAGCTAATGATAAAAGCGAGAAATATCGCAACATGAAATCTATTTGTTTTCATGGATGAGTGAAAATAAATTGCAGTTTATGTATGTTCCAATATAAAGAGTTGAATTGTTTGGGGAATTTTTAGATTGAGAATAGTATTTTGTTTTTTTGTTTTTTTTAAAATTTCAGCCATCATGAGTTTACGTTTAGTTGCTTTCTTTTAAAACGAGAAAAATAGAAATATAGAAGGCACACAATTTTTTTACCAAATTTATAATCAGTCATGAGAAGTTCTGGCGGCTTTTCTATACAAGCATAACTGATTTCTAATGGATCCAGGGCTGCAATATGATGACCACGAATCTGCAAAGACAATGCCCGTGATTGGTTGAAACAGTGTCCCATTACTATTACATTCCACATGCAAACAGGAAACACAAATTCACAAAGGATGCACTGGTGCGGCAAGGAGTGGCAAAATTGGTGTCAACAGGGAAATCCCCTTTGGCAACAATGTAAACCGAAAAATAAGGTGTAAAAAATTTCTTCAATAAATAAGATCCACTGTAATAGACATCAAATATTATCCAATAATCTTCAGCGAGTATGCCTTTCACAAAAAAATATGAATTCTCATCTTACAGTAGTTTGCCACACGAAAAGTAAATTCTAGATGGACAAAACTGATATGAATAAAATATAGTATCATGCACTTTACATATCGTATCACAATAATACGACCCAAATACCAAGTCACCTGTCTCCCCTAGCTCTCACGTAAGAGTTATTTGAGGAGCCGTGCGGTCGATCCAATTAAAATCTGACGTTGGCCGGATTTGAACCAGGGTCTTCATCACAAGAAGCAAGGACATTACATCACGGCCAAATTAATGCTCTGCTTGAAGCACTGTTTAAATAGTGATTCAGTTAGTTTTTAAACTTAAAGCAACTTATTGCTATTATAACTTGCCTGCAAAAATTGAAAGAAAATTGTAGTTTTAGTGAAAAAAAAATCACAATTTTTGTAAAACCTTTAGCAAACAAGTACTTATAGGTACATTTTGATGTTTTAAACTATTATTGCATTTTTTTCAAGGATAACTTTAAGCTTTGGGATACTCACAGAATATTTAATATTAAAAGAGAAAATTATTCAGGTTGTTAAATTTGAGAGGTATAGAACATGCATTAGTCTATTGACAAACTCTGCCTTAAAATAACATACGGTATTACCCAACATAGTTTCTCTTAATAAGGCAAAGATTTCATAATTAGGAAAAAGACAAATTTATTGTTAATGATAAGCAACTAATAAAAAGACTGAAAAATATTAATCAGTTATGATGGATTAATACTCAGTAATAACGTTTTAATATTATTGAACCAAAGTTACTGATTAAATGACTGAATAATCGAGTGTTAACGCTGCATCATCCATCTGATCACACAGATTACCAAAGCTAAAAACAGGCACTCGATGTCATGCGATTTCATGGAGAACATAACGCCAATTGTTTGTAATGACGATCCATTCAGACTGCCATCAATAATGAGCAGACGACGTCATGTCGTGTAGTGCTTGCAGATTTGGCTTGTTGGTCAACGGTCGTACAACGCATTGTGCGCATGACTTTACAGGCAAAAATCGGGAAATATCTGCTTCTCGAAGAAGTATGCAACGCAGGGACGCGCGCGCAATGAATCGTTATTAATGACGATCTGTTAAGACCGTCTCCGACAATCAGCAGACGGCGTTGTCTAACAGGTCATAGACGGACCTATCGGCAGACAGTCGCACGACCATCGTACGATGCAGGGAGTGCCTGGCTTTATGGCACATCATAAGGGCAACTGCGTATGCAGCAACTTTGTGTTCTCGTCTGAATTCTAGGTCGCATTTTGGCTTGAATGCATGTTGTGCATAGAACGCAGGACGGTTACGGATGAGGTAATTGTGGAAAGCAAATCTTCAGCGCCCACAATCCGAATTACATAGCATTAAAGCTTATTTATACAGAGAGTGACATCAATAAATAAACTTTATCATTATAAGTTACAACTAATCTACACAACGCGACCTGATCATCATGCACGCAACTTTCATGGTTTGTTTGCCAGCGTACATGCTCAGCAAAGGATGACGGGAGTCACTGATTGGTTGGAATGCCTTTTTTTGTACCAGGCATTTTTTACCGTCGATTTTTATATGAAGATCAATAACATGTTCCATTTTTTATGCCGCTGTCATTTTTCACTGTTATATGTTCATACATAATGAAAACAATAAAACAAAGCAAGAAACTGAAAATTTCTGGTTAGTTTATTTGCTAACCTGGTAAGACCGGATGATGGCTTGGACACTTAGATGATCCTCTATCACCTGCCTGTCCACTGTCTTTGACACTGGAGCGGCCAGGCTACCTCCAGAAGAAACCATGCTCATCACAGATGGTGGCGCTTGGTAGGCGGTACCTGGAGCCGCCCCTTTTTCCGCATTTCGAAAGAAAATATCCCATGACTATGAAGGAAAAAAGAACAGATAAATTAAAAATATGTTAATCAGGGGTATTCATTTATGTTTTTTATTTACAGAGAGCAAAAAACAATAGCAATGATAAATGATTGCAACGTGAGGGTAGTTGCTAAATACAATGGGTTCAGCCGAGGGGGGCGTGGCTTGTATACGGTGACGTCATGTATAATTGACCAATGTGAATTTAGCAAGGCGAGCAGAGGAGGCTGAGGCTTAGCTTAGTTTTCTCTTGTGCTGCCGCTACAGGCGGGTTAATATTTGGAAGTTAACATTGGAAGTTAATATATTTACTTAAATTATAGGCCTAACATTCGGTTTCGTTTCACTTTTCCTGGAATACAGCCAGCAATATTGTTTCAAAGCAGTGAACACTAAAAAAAAAAATCATGCAGTCATGTTGTAAAAGTTGTAATTTTAATTTATTAGGCCCATTTTCTCTTCCAGTGAGATAATTTGTTCATAGGATTAAGATTGGAAAACCCACAGACTAAGTACAGTAGTACAGGGGTGGCGCCATGACTTGCCTGGGGTTCGAGGTCCCCGACAAGGGGGGGGGGGCCGATGAAGAAAGTGGGTGGGTGTGGTCGGGCGTCCCTCAATATCCGTCGAAAGTGTTCCATGGGGCTTCCCTCCCCGACAAATAAATAACAATTTTTGGTTTGAAAGGCTTATTTAGTCGATTTTAGTGTCTACTATTATATGTAGAAAATATATTACATTTTTTCTCCCTGACAAATTGTGGTTTTTTTTCTCCCGACAGGGGGTGGGAGAGAAGTCAGACCTCCCCGACGGAGACCTCCCTGACGGAGACCTCCCCTCCCCCACCCGCTGCCGCCACCCATGTAAGTACAGTATTTTACTATAGTAGGGCCTAGGTCATTGATTTGTTTTCATTTTTTCGCGATTAAGGCCTAATCCATACCGCTAAAATAAGACTAACTAGGTCTATGTATTACTTCACTCTGTGTAGGCCACATGAATTGATAACATTCCAGGGATCCTAATTTTTGGAAAGAAAAACACACAGGGACAACTTACATTGGTTGTACCACGAAGGAATTAGTTGTACGGACTGTATTTTGCTATGCCGTGTGATTACAAACAGGCCCCACACTTTGTCGAGGAAATTAATACAAAACACAGGTGAAGTTATGCATGACGTCAACATACGAAGCCACGCCCCCTTGGCTGAACCCGTTGTATTTAGCAACTACCCAATGTGAGCCTGAGCAGATGAAACTCGGTAGAGGGCCACATTTATTCATTCTTTATTCATTCATATTATTAATATTATTTCTTCTTAGAATGCCATCAGTTGCATATTGCAGTCCAACTGATGACAGTCACTAAATATTATAAAAATAAACGCACGGGTGAGAATAAAGGGGAAAGTGCTCCTTTGTTTGAGAGGTTGGTCAAGTGATTTCAGGGCATACCTGTACCCGCCAGACCACTGTGATAATTGAACCGCATCGGTTTTGACATTTTTACACCGCAATTTAATCAGTTCTTCCATGCTTTGACCAAGTACTGCACTACTACTACTACATCCTTCATTTAGCATTTGTATAATCCTGCTAACAAACTATAACAGCAGTGAATACATATCCTTCGTGAGGTGATAATAAACTGGCCTGGGAACGACAGGTATTATAATTTTCAAGGTGTGTACTCTTATGAGTCAAATCAATGTTAGCAGGGATGCTCTGGGCCATTTGAAATACAGCTACTGTACTGCATGTTAGACATTGCTAATTAGAACAACATAATTCAATAATTCAACAAACTGTTTACCTTTCTACTAAAGGTTCAATACACACATTTATGGTGTAGCTCATTAGCAAGCCTATAATCAATTTTGATAACAGTGTTCATTCAGCTGATCAAACAAATCATGAGGCTTGCACTCCCAAAACCAGCATACTGTCGCTAAATGATAAACTGAGTAATTAGCATAAGAATGTGGCCATATTGTATACTTTAGTACAGAGAAATCATAATACATTACTTTTATTAACTTTAGAATAGTAAGTAGATTCCAGTAAATGACACTTTAAAGCTTATAATGCATGAATTGGACGCTTTTAATTGTTACACGCAAACCGCGCAGAATGTTATCTTGTTATTTTAAGATCTTTGTGTTACTGTTTGTACACTTGTGAAAATGTCGATACTGTAATTGTGAACGGCCCCTAAGGTCCATTGTCTATAATTCATCACAGAAAAATATATTATTGCAGTTTGCAAAGCTTGTCAGATCAGGTACTTTCTCTCAGTTTCTGTTGAGGTAATTTGTAATTTTTCAGATACCTACAGTAAACAGACCGATTTGGTAATAAGCGTCACTTGACCTAACTTGGGTGTTGGATGTAAACAATGGACTGGGACAGCGGAGATTGCTATGGAGGCTGTCCCTTATTGCTTTAAAGATCATCATAATTGCTGTATTTGTTCTTTTGAACGTGATGTAAGTTACTCGAAGCCGGGCACTCATGAAGGTCACACAACGAGCATACAACAAATCTAACTCCGCTACCAGTGAGCAATATCTACAGAATTTTGGTGGCAAACTAAACAAATCGTCATTAACAACGATTCGTTGTACACATTGTGGCGTTCTGTTCTACATAGAATCGCATCGGCAGATGACCATGGGGGACAGCGATTGATTTCTTTTTAAAAATAATTATCATAGATGAAAGTTTAGTTTTCTTGTTTTTATTTGAATGATAGAATACTCAATCATTTTTGGTTGTGATAAATAAAGTTGGATTAACATAGTTATACTGTAAAGTACTGAGGTAATTAAAATTGAATGTGATGTCCCAATCAATATACTGCAATGAATCAACTACTGAAATTTACTTAAAATCACAATAAAATTGAAGAATTCATTAAATGAAACTGAGTACAGTATCCTCTGGACTATCCATCACAAATTTAAGTCTAATAGAGATAGAGTACGTAAGTTATTCAGAGAAATACTAGCGATGATCCATATTGACAGCAATTTGAGGCTGCCTAATGCAATTCGATTAAAACATGAAAGTGATTTAGCTAAAGGTGTACTACTGTACAGTATGTCCTTTCACCAGTGTCAAATCCATTTCAGCGCTGTAAGCAAATGCACCAATTAAGTCCTGGCATCTTCTTTTGTAAAGCTGACATAGTTCTGGATCAAGGATGAATAGAGTCTCTAGTGATGTACACTAAAAAATATCACTACTGTACCTTGCACTCCCTTTTGAGGGTCATTTTAGGGTTTCTGTGGGATTTTCTATTCTTTTTTGCTGTCTTTTTGTTTAGGAGACATTTTTTATACCTTGCGAACCCACCGACTGCAGATATTGGTTTCAAATAAAAATTGGCTAATCTCCAAAGATATGTATATTTCTTCCTAATTATATAAACTTGAAGCACTTAACCATCCTATTTTACATTCACCAATAAAATTTCATTTTTATTTTCTCCTCTGTCTGGTCGTTAACGCTTAAGATTAACATTATTTGTCCAAAAAACATACTGTGTATGAATATCGCCCAAACAACAAATATGAGTCATTTAAACCATAAAATCTGATATTTCTACCTCAAAAAAATTTCAACATACCATTGGTAGCTATGAGGGCATTTGGACACTTTTTCCACTTTTACTAATTAATAATGCACAACTCCCATAATAGTTAAGGCTAAAGTATTTGGCCAGTGATCTGTGATATCTACAAATGAATAGATAGTCAAATTCATGGCCTGAACAACTCACTATCTCAATGAACCAGCTTAATTAATTTAACAAGGGCACAGAGGTTCTGAACATTAGTATTTTTAACGGACAATAATTGAATTCTTACACCTGAGCCATCAATAGCCCACAGCACTTCTAGGAAACATATCTTCACAATGATAATCCTAGCGACGACAGCTTGATTATTGCGCAACTAGCGATCTTACTTTCCAATGTTCTGGCACTTGGCCATTAAAAAAAAGGTTTGTACATGGTGACTGACAGCACAAGTTGTTAAGACATATTAACCACCACATTACTGTACATCTCAGCCATTTTATCACTGTATGTTCTATCTTGCTCATGGACTTTGAATTATCAATAGAGTTTCTGTTTTATAACATCAAATTTAGATACTGTACATTGGTATCATGATATAATCACATAATGAATGTACTCTATTTCAGTACTTGGTACATAGCTAAAATTAAGGCCAATTAAATCATTTTTCCATGGAAAATAAAAAGAATGACATTCTGAAAGATTGTGTCAAATCCTACAAAAAAACAATCTTCAATATTTACCACACTGTTTACCACTACAATGTAGTAGTATAGAATAGTAAAAAGCAAATAGAAAATTACTCTCACCGAAAAATAATTCAATGCCTAGACGTGAAACTAACAATTTTATCTGGCCTAAAAATATGAATTCATTATATTTATTTAGAGTAATGAAAAAAAACTCATACAGACAGCATAATTTGTAATGCTTTTCCAAATGTCTATGTACTGTACAGGTACAATAAGTGCTTTATCTTTGCTTTAATGAGATGAGATGCTCATTTTAAAGGCGCAATAATTTCAACTGTCATTTACCCCTTTTACACGGGCTGCAAGCAAAACTCTGGACGCAACCCAGGATTTTGCAATACCCGGGCTTGAAACTCTCGCGTTGTGGTTGGTGTAAACATCTGCGGTCAGGTAGGCCTAAATTTTGCTAGCAACGGGCTAGGCCTAGACACTTTTCAAATTAAACCCCCTGCGCTCCGGTATAGACTTGATATAAAAACTGCTGATTTAATTCGCATAATTTAAAAAGAATCTGCATATAAATTCCTTCAATAACGAACTAATAAGGAACTCGAGCGAAGTGATGATCACCATCGCAACAGAAATTGAAGGCGGTATTTGAATCGGTGTTCGTTGCCGGTGTGAAGTGGAAGCAACTCAGACTTTTTCGTTCGATGTAAATGGGAAATGCACCCGAGATCACTCCAGAAATAGCACGGGTTTATTTTGCCTTGGCAGTGTAAAAGGGGTAATTATTAGTAATTTATTAATAAATATATCATTTCACGTACCTAGGTATCTAAATTAAGATGACTTACTAACATGCATTACATGAACTGCATACTCACAGCATTCTACTTTCTGTTAAAAACTGCTAGTATTATTTAAATAAATTAATGCCTGGGCCCCATGTTACTTGTACTTTAGTATCTTTACTAAAATTTCTAAAACCATAAAATATCAAAATTAGGCCTACTATTCAGGCCTCGAATTTTACCGCGGCCATTGCCGACGGTGCCATCCCAGTTGGCATTGGTGCCCCTGAAAATGAAGCACGACAACGGACACTACTTGCCTGCCCTTTTGAAGCCTTGGCCTCGGTGCCCTCACGATGCATGATATAGATCATTTGACAATAAAAAATAAATCTAAGTAAGAACGTTTAAATCTTGAAAGAAAACACGAAAGCCAAAAATGTAGGTCGCCATAGCTAGCCCAGGTTAGGTTGCAGTGACAGAACAGAACATGAGAGAATTTCCATGTGTGTTGTTTTTGCGGTTACCGTTGTGTGCGCATGCGTCCTACTCTTGCGGTTATTGCAAAACATGGGCTCATTCGACTGGTTCATTTCGTTGGAAAGAATTTTCGTTGATTATTATTTTCATTCGACTGGTTCGTTAAATACATTTCGCTGACAACGAAAATTAACGTAAACCAGAGTGCGGTAATCAGCGTTAAGTTATCCACGTGACCAAAGAGAAACATGGACGATTGGTGATTTTTTATTAACAACATTTGCGTTAATATAACTTAGATTAAATTTCATAAAATAAACATTATAATATTTACCCACATGGAGTCAAAAAATTATTGTAGACAAACAGAATAAAAAAAAACTGGATGAAAATATTTTTTTATGAAAAACTCATACCACAAGTTGAAGCAATCTTGATTACGCAACGTGTATCGTGGTAACTATACAGCCATTTTGTTTTGTCGAGTATTTACAAGTTTTCTATTCGACTGGTCGTCTTCGTTGAGTAGGATGTTACCGCTGCGCAGGTGGGCGTGGTTTAACGAAGAACGACCAGTCGAATACAGCCTTTGTTGTAAACATGTGCTTGCTGCACAGCTAACTTTGGGCGATCTTACGTCATCGCAGCCATTTTGGAGTTGTGGCTTCCTCTCCGATGACAATGGACTGAACAACAACACAAATTTTGCCTTGGGTGCCCTTTTATACTTTTTTTTTGGCCTTGGTGCCTTTCTATTTGGCCTTGGTGCCTTTCAAAATCATGTCATACAAGAGGCCATTTGGCCTTGCCCATAAAATCCCCAAATTCGAGGCGTGACTATTTATCAAAATCAATATTTAAAATGCAAGGATCCTAGTACAGTAAAACAATCAACTAAAATATACTTTCTTTTCAAGTACAGCAAAATATTAACAAGTATTAAATAGGGAATTAAATATGAAAGGACAAATGCAAGAAACTGCAATGATCACTTCCTGTAAACTGGAGGACACCAGATGATGAGTGATGTTGACTTAAATCCCATCATAAGGAAGTGATTAATTCCTTGGACAACTGATGCTTGAAAACTAATACAGTATTTAGGAAAAAAATTGTTTATTTTCTTGTCTTTTTAGTCCTCAGCATTATTTATACAAACATAAAACAAAAAAATTCTAGTCTGTATGACCATACATTACTGTATCTAAATTGCAACACAACACAATGTGTATTTTTTCAATGTGAAACTACAATAATAACAAACTGAGTGAATGATTTTAGATCAGTAACAAACTGTTCACTATAAAAGTAAAAAGATTACAAATCCAGGAAAAGAAAAGGCAAATGGTTCTAATTTATACTATACAAATTCATGATTTTAAGACAGACAATTTGTTGTTCCTAGTGGGATCCTTCTGGTGGTAAATTGGGCAGTACACAGGAAGACAACCTTCAATCTTTTCCCAGGGGTGTACTGTGTTCTTCAACATGCACACTGTATGGGTCTTTACTGTAAACATAGGACCAACGGCTTAAAAAACACAAGGAGAGTACTGTAGCGGATAGAATAGAGCTGGGGACCAAAGGATCTCCATGGTTCAGCACAAACACACATTGGCAACCATAACCAAATACATGGTTAACTATTAGATAGTGATGTTTCATCCTATTTATTATTCAGAATTTGATAATTGTACTTTGTAAGTCTTCATGACATACATCATTTCTCATTGGATAATGGCTTTATGTACTATCTTTTGTACGATAATAATAAAGACAAGAAATGCAAGATTAACCAATGACGACAGGAATTTAATTCATACAGGTGTACAATTACTGAAACCTGAATGCTTAAAATTCAACATATTTCAACTGTTACTGTACATTGATCTTTTCACAAAGCCCCACCATTTTGGATACTGTTGCGTAGGACCTTCAACAGTTTATTACTTGAGTGAGACAATCATGTATTCCTGGCTATTAAATAACATGCTCTAAAGTAATTGGTTAGCTGTCAAATTTGATTGGCAGTCCGGAAAGTTTCACTGATCCGGTTCCATTTTCTTGTGTGTCGGGTCTACAAATATCAATTGGCTATACTCAACAACTTTTTTTTAGCCAATTGAATCTGTCTATAGCCAAAATTTGACGAAAAATCTTTAAAAATCATTAAATGTATTCCGAGCTGACTAGAGCCTTGGTCAGGGTACCAGAAAAAAATCCATAGTAAGTTCACGAAGAGCAGTGGCGTATCTAGGAGTCTACAAGCGGGGGTGCTGATAAGGGGTGCGATGGTGAAGTGGAGGAGCCTCGATGATCAGTTGAGGAGGTGCAAACTCGCAAAACAACTTGACCATGATTTTGGAGCTCAAATGAAAAAAAAAGATGTATTTTAGCAAGTATTTTAAAATTTTAAATGGCTAAAGCAGTTCGTTATTTTTTCACCAATCCAAAGTAGTTTCCGTACACGGCGACTTGGCGATCGGTTAGCGTGAGCCCAGATGAGTGATATAAATATCAATATGATTAGAAAATGTATGACAATGAAAATTACGCCTAGAGTAATCTATTGCTAAATTGATAAAGAGCTTCGGGTCTTCAATATGATTAGAAAATGTATGACAATGAAAATTACGCCTAGAGTAATTTACTGTATTGCTAAATTGATAAAGAGCTTCGGGTCTTTGCAGTTTATCAAGCTTAAGTTAAATGAAGTTAAAGAAAATGGCATTTTACTTTTTCAAAATATGAATCCGATTATTAAAATTTAAAAAATAGGTTTAAGGAGGCCTTGTTTCATTCATAGTTTTGTTAAAAACAAATATCAAAACAGATGGATTTAGTACAATGGTAATGAATTGCGCTTTTGAATTGAAGGGTCAGAGGTTAGTGGCATTGCCTGTCACATTTACTGTAGCATGTCAACTCTGTCATTAAATATTTAACTCTCTTCAGCCAGAATCATAAAAGGAGGTAAATAATATTGAATGCAATAATATAGATCTGTGCTATAGGACATGTGTAATTTAATAGCGGCCCTAGCAATAACTTGTGATTGGAAAGTTTGATTGACAATTCAAAATGTCAATTATATGCTGGTTGGCCTGAATGATCTCAGGAAACTGTCACTCTTGTGTTCAAGGATACAAAATTTTAAAAAAATATACAAAATTAAGAAAAAATATTACAAACATTTATGCTATTAATAGCACATAACCCAAAGCAAGGTCTCTATGTGCTGAATCTTAAGGCCAACTCAGACAGCATTGCCCGACGCAGCCCCTATGTGATTTGTTGTCGTTACAGATCTGTGCGAGTTAAAAACTGACGTGATGGGTCTGCGTCGGGGATAGTAGCGTCGTAGAATAATGAACATGTCTAATATTCTCACGACAACCTAACACTGCTCCCGATGATAAATTGCGTTTGGTTGGGTTGCATTGTACGACGCAATCCGAGTAGGGTTTCATTATCCCAATACCTGGATCAAACACAAATGAAATATAATGTATGTTATATGTAAAGTCAATGAAGGTACTGATTTATAAATATGCAGTAAGGTTGAAAACTATCAGGTACCCATTTTGACTGTGGAGACAACCAATAGTTAATAGGTAATAGTGCCTTGCCTGAGGACATGAGCAAAATGCATAGCAAAGAAGTTTGACACTCTGAACTTTATATTCAGAACCTGATTCGCAATTGCTGCAACAACCACTCCCACTTAAATGTTTATTAATCCGGGTACTCACTGTGTCATGTGACAGCAGTACGACGAATCCAACTCCGCTCCCTAAAAACGTTAGACAATGCAATGCTGTCTGCCGATTGTCATTAAATTGATCAGTTGCACGCGCATTATGGGGCTGTGTTCTCTAAAGAATCGCATGGGCCGGCAGCGAGTGCCCGAATTTAGGCTTTCTTAAGTCAAGTTTGTACCTACCTTATGTACACTTTGTGGATTTTCTAACCAAGACATGTACATTTCCTCAACATAATTTGAACTGCTACCATTAAGAAAAGGTTCCGTGGCAACAGGAGCCACAAAATATCGAGGTAACTGAAGTCTTACGGCACAATGCCGAGGCCAAAACGTCCTATTTACATTGGCCAATTGTCGGCTTTGTGTTAACACTGTCTTGATATGTTGCATTTTGAAATGTCAGTAGTCCTTTGTGGTGCGTTACCACAATTTTTAAAATCGAGTCTTTCTTGGCAAAACGGGTGTTGGCCTGGTATCTCCAGCTTGGTTGAAGGACACACCCTCAACTGAGAAAAAATATATTAATTCTGGTACTGTTGGCTTTGTCAGAAATCAACTCAATGCCTCCGACATCAGCTTATCTAATCAACAGGCTTGGTAAGTATAAAGTCTGTATCTGTGGGTATTGACAAAAGATACTGTGAATAAGACAAGGCTAGACCTTGTAAAGTTTTATTCAAATAAAAATTTCATAGAATTTAAAAAGTTGATAAAAAATTGAAACTAAAGTTGGGCATTAATTAATTAAAAAATCTTTAAACTTGATAAATTAAAACTAATTACAGATACTGATAAACTTTGTTATTCATATGATTGAGATGCAGTTTTCATGACAGCTACAGTTGAGTGGCAATAATGATAAACAAAACCAAAAATATATTAACAAAATTGCAATTCATGATACTTAAAACTTCATATCCATCCAATGTTTTCAATAAGTTTTACATTTTTTATATTTTCTGAAATTTTAATTACTATTTTTCCTAATTTAATGCTTTTCGTGATATTTCCAACTTCATATTTTATATATATTGTTCTCTAACAAAATTGCAAATAATCCTTTAATAATAGGTTATCACTTAATTTTGGTATTTTTAAATTTTATTAAAAATGTATAAAATTACCCAATCTGACTTTTATATAATAAATTGCTTATTGTTGTAACTTCTTGAACTTTTTTTATTACTCCAATACCAATTTTAACATAACAATACATAATTATTTTTAAAACTAGGGGCCTAGGCCTACCACAAATTTTGAAGCTTACTAAGGAGGCTAGGCCTAGGCCTATCAATATGCCTGACTTTTTGACATTAGCTGGCTGGCCACAATTGAAAAATTTATAGGAAAAGTAGGCCTACGCCTAGGCCGAGGCCTGGGTAGTTAAATACTTTCGCTAGCTAGCCTATTCAGATTGGGCAAAGGCAGAGCCGGTTGACCAGACTAGGCCTAGTCTCCTAGGCCTAGGCCGCCTTCCTAGCCTAGGCCTAGGGCCCTACGCGCCTGTACAAATGCACGAATTCGGCTAACTTCTCATGCTGAAAATACCACAGCCAAGCCTTCTTATTCTACCTAGCCTACTCGTCGAATCCGAATGTTTACTCTCCTCCACCCAGTCTGAAACGAACAAGTCATTTCTTCCTATACATTTATACATGTTTTAACATCTTATTAAGGCTAGAGGAAAGCTTACTTACAATTTCACAAGTTCTGCCTCTACTCATCGATGCTTTGCTTTAACTTGAGAAAGCTTCGATCATTCTTTTTCTAGGCGCATTGCACATTCTTTCCATTGGAGTGAAATTCGCGCAATCCAAAAATCTATGACCTTTAACCGTAATGACGCATTGCTCAGTCCATGATCCAAGACAAGAGGAAGTTTTTAAGTCTGTTACAATATTATTTGTTCAGTAAATAACTTTTATTTTTAGATTTTTCCAAGTCAGTTAACTCGATTGTATGCCGTTTTATCATTATTATTTACTATTATTTTATCATTGTATTAATACAATCACCACACTCGAGTCGAGGCTAAATTTATGATTACGATGACATAATTATGTCTGAATGTTGTTAGTGGTTCTACAAAGACGAATGGTTACCAAAGGCTAATGAAAGTGGGCGTACTGCCGATAAGTTTCGCTATTCATGAAAACTTTCCGATATATTTTTGTGGTTACGCAGCATTTCACGTGATGATTTCTATTTACCTTTCCGCTCTCGTGAGTGTAGCCTTCGATCAGTAATAACAATGATGATTTCATTTGTGTATCTAACCATATCTAATGGAAGTGTGTGTCGTAAATAAATCGTGAGTAGGATTTGTATTTTAAATTGCTAGGAATATAAATTCCATCCCATCGAATTTACTAATTAAATCATGTTTATTTGATTCGCGGTGTCAGTGCTAAGACAGTAAGCTTGGGAACTGCAAGTTCAAGGAACTCTATAATCATTAAAGCTGCTGCACAGTTGGGCTGAATTTCGCTTTGCGATAAGGAAGAATAAACAATATTATAAAATCATTGGTCGCCGTTTCAGCTTGCTTCCCCTCTGAACTTTCTGGTGGTGGTATAATCATAACAATAGGCTTATATAATTATATATCATATGACCAGCGGTGAGGAAGGACACAGGTGTGTTGAAAATCTTTGTCTGAAATTTATTTTGTGTCCAATGTCAACCTATGCAGTTGTTTTACTTCTGTATCTGCTTTTATTTTGTATTCTACTGAGATCCAGTCATTGTTTCCCTGCAGCCTTGTTGTTTTTCAGTATATTTTGCCTTTTAATCTATCTATATATATATACACTTATATATACATATATGTACTTATATACATATATATATATATATGTATGTTTGTGTATATATTATTTATATGATATAAACAAATAGATAATTTTCTAATAATTGCTATTGCCTCAATTTTTATAACTTTTAAAATATTTTTCCATTTTTTCCTCAAGTTTTCATTTTTTAACAATATACTTAATCCTTATTTGCTGTAGTATAAGTTTTCATATTTCTCTTATTTTGCTATGCATTATGTTTGGTGGTATCAGCATAACGAATCAACCGAACTAGCTGGAAAAGCTTGAAATTTTTCCTTTTTCATGAGATATTTTTTTAATTGGCCTGAAGCCCTGTCCAGACTATCAAATATTGTTTGAAAAAAACATATAACATGCCTAAATATGGTCATGATGACATCACAACATGACCATATATAGGCACATCATGATTATATATGGGCATACCAAGGCAATTCAACAAAAAGGATGCACATCTCTGCTCGCGAACATAGAGTATGCGTACAGTTCTTTGATTTTTACTGTGGCATCAACAATCCGATACTAGTTGCGAGTACAGCCATCAATTATTAGTCTGTGTGTGCCATACATTTTATGGTGTTAGTTACTATTTTATTAGTTATAACCAATAAACAAAACTTTTAATGATTCAATTAACATTGAAAGTAGTTCAGTAGTTGTATATTAGGCCTACTAGTCTGATACAAATGAAAAATATGTAGGTCGCACTTTTTTGACTAACAATAGATTTTATTTCACAAACTTTCGTCCCAGTCAGTGGGGCTTCATCATATTTTTTATAAAGATCATCAGAGGAGGGCGGAAAAAAATAAAAATATAATTTTGTTATTTAGCAAATAGTTTTGCCAAAAATAAATGGAGGAGAAAATAAAAATAAAATTGTATTGGTGAAGTAAACGGTGTAGTAATAAAAATGCTTTAAATGTATATAATTAGGAAGAAATATACATATCTTATTTTGAAGAGATTTCAAGGTAGAGACGGATGCAATAAGAAGTAAAAAAACTTCATTTCATTTTTTTCATGGTGGCGGGTGTGCTTATTGGCAAAAAATATAATTTTTTCACTACGGTACTACTATTTGTTTATACTGCAGCTAACTAGTTCTTACTGTTAATTTGTTCTTAATCTGTTCCTCAACAGGTTGCGTATGTCATGTAGATCTATGTAGCAGAGTTCATCCGATATTTGCCAATCATGGAGGTGGACTCGGAGAGGGCGCCATTAATCCTTAAGAAGGGTAGCGTGAAGGTCGAAGAGAATGAGGATGAAAAAGAGGTATCTATTATCAACTCTGGACGCATGAAAATAGTACTGTGTATATTGTGCTGTGAGTTGTGCGAAAGGCTAACTTACTACAGTGTTGTCGCCAACCTAGTGGTGTACTGCACAAACACACTTGGCTACACCAGTGCTGATGCTGTTACTGTGAGTCTAGTGTTTTCCGGGACTTCTTATTTCCTTCCTGTGGCGGGAGGTTGGGTTGCGGATTCAATCTCGGGAAGATTTAATGGAATTTTTGGTGGTCTATTGATTTACTTCATAGGTAAGTACATTAGTGTTTTGTGAAAATTGATGTGCCAAAAAAAAAATGGAAAACTTGTGACATCACAGAATTCATCAGCCTATGCGCTCTGACGTTGCGGTCCTATAGATCTAGCACCCTGACCCAAAAGATACATAAAAGCATAATGTGTCTCTGACATTGACTGTAGGATATTATATGCAGTGACGGATTAAAGAGGCCCCTAAATTTGGCGACCAGGACTGAAAAGGGCTCCAGTCTCAGAAAACCCCCAGGTGCATAAAACGTGGTTAACAAACACTTTTTTTAAAATTCACAGTAGTTTCAATCCTTCATATATGTGTATATAAGAAAGTATAATACATACTCCAAGTATTAAAATGCACGCCATCCCAACATGATGGCGTGCATTTCAATACTCGAGTATGAATACTTTCATACTACTTTCAGTCTACTTTCTTATCGGAGATTAATCAGTGGACCTTTTGGTGTTCATATAGTATTATACAAATATTTACTGGGTTGAGGGGCATGGTTCAAATTATAGCCCGAGGTGATCTGGAGGCTGTACTGTGTCCCGAGATGAAGTCGAGGGAAATAGTACAGCCTCCAGATCACCAAGGGCTTTAATTTGAGCTATGACCTGATTAAAATCCCAGTAAATATTTTGTTTTATATACCACTACATAGATTCCCTGTTCTTGAGTCGTGAAGAAGCCTAGGCTAGGGCCTTAGGACTAGTAGTAGTAGAACTTCGCTAGCAATTCATCGAGGCCTGCGTTTGATAACTCGGTAAATTACAGTTTGTGGTTTCAAGATATTCTTCAAATATTCGGACGGCATACTTAACTTGTTTTTTCGTATTATCACTGGCTGCCGAACTCACTCACTATACACTTCTCATGTTCATCAACCAGTTTAAATCTGGAATAAACAATCTTCCATTGTTATTCCTAGTCTACCGGTGACAATGTGCAGCAGAGCGATCGTCAACCGCTTCCAGGTTTTAACCAATCAAATGCCAGGAATCTATGTAGTCGGTATATAAAAGATTCTGGCATTATGTAATAGTCATTTTTTTTTTAATATACAGTAATTAGGAATCAGGGAATTAGTAAAAATGCTTATCACCTAATAATGTTGCTGGTATTGAGTGCAATATATAGTACTGTATGAGATCAAATTATTGAGAATCCTTGAGCAGTTAGTAATTAAAATTACAATGGTTTTATATACAGTACCAACTGCGTAAAAAATAATCAACAAAGAGAAAGTGCTGGAAATATGAGTGTAAAATCCACCAATGAGAAGTCACTACTTCTACCAAATTCCAGATGTTTTTCAAAGACTAATAATAATCTACAGAAAATCAGCCCCTTGCAGAATCAACGGTTTGTGATAATTTGCATCCTGATTTGTGAACTTTGTGAACGCCTTACCTATTATAGCGTAAGTGCCAATCTCATTCTGTACCTGACGATAGAGCTAGGCTACGATAGTGAGGATGCTTCGGTGATATCACTCATTTGGACCGGGACTGTATACACCCTACCTCTGCTTGGTGGGCTTGTGAGCGACTCGTTGTTAGGGAAGCTTAAAACAACACTTTTTTTTCTGTTTTTTTATGGAATTGGTAAGATATTACTGTACGTTTTTAAGTTAAGTGGACATTGATTTTGTTAGCTTTCAGTTTCTGTTATAAAGATGCCATGTGTGTCACAAGCTAAAAAAAATTGAAAAATTCAATTCAATATTGAAATAACTTAATTTATGTATTAGTAAGTTTACATAAAAATTTGAATATGAAACAAATTTTCCTATCAAACAGCTAAGTAAATACAGTACCTCTGCTCTTTTACATAATCCTTAAATTGGCTGGTAGATTTTTGTATAACTTATTTTATCTATTTAAGGTTTTTGATTAAATTTTGGCTGGTTGGTAATAAGCAAAAATTTTAATATCTTTTTATAGGTTTGAAGTTATTTCATACTTTTAAATGAGCTATTCAAGACTTTTTATTGAATTTTTTGGGTATTTTCTGATTTTGTTTGCATAAAATGTACCTTAAAAGATATAATGTCTGTCAGAAACATTCTCAAAAATTTAATCAAAATATTGAATAGCTCATTTAAACTATTTAAAAACTAGTAACTTTCAGTTCTAAAAAAAACATGTTTTTGCTACTTGTATGTTACTGAATAATTGGGGAGCTACATTGTAACTACCTGTACTCCTTCTAAAAAAAAAGTGAAAAGGATCGGAAATACCAGGGCGGCATCAGAAATTCCCCGACGAGAGGTCCAAACTCCCCCATTGTGGGAGAAGCATAGGCCCCACCCAGTCGGAGAAAAAATTTAATTTGTCGGGGAATCTTTTTTTTATTAAAAGATAATAAAATTTTGTGTTTTGTATTTAAAAAGGATGTTGGGGGTACTAGTCCCCCTGTCGGGGGTACTTACCCCCTGTGGGAGGTACCAGCCCTCTGTCGGGGAAGAGCTGGCACACCACTGCACCCATAGCAATCTCAATAGTATACAACACCTCGCACATATGGAGCACCGCTTGCTCTAAACAGTTTTTAATTCCTAAAATTTTGACAGCTTAGTATAGTAAGTCATGCTTGAATTGTACTTTCGGTGCTCAAGATTTGATTTTACCCCAACGACCCTGATGGAAATTTCCCTACAGGGATATCCAAGTAGGAGGTCTAGAGGTCCCCAGCAGGGGGGTCCTTTGCTCCCCATAACCCCTGCTAGTGCTGCCCCTGATACCGCATGTGACAATCGGGAATAATGTCTGGCAGGGATCAATGTCGCAAAGCATTTCAAAGTTCAGAGTTCAAAGTATTTTTAATAGGGAGCTTTCAGTTTGTGCAATGACGCGATGCTAGAACGGAATCACTCTTGCGTGACCTACATTCTCTGAAAATACATAGAGGCTATTTTCGGGCGTCTAGAACACAGAAATTTTGCTGACCCCCCTGGGGTATTGTTATCTCGATCACACCCACTTTCAAAATGAGTTACCTTTTCAGTTCCATTTGATGTCTTCTTTCTGTGTTTTGCTTTTATTTTTTGGTTTTCTGTTCTCTCTTCTGTTATTTGCTTTTTCTTCCCTTTTCTATTGTTTTCTCCCTTTGTTACCTTTGTTTCTTTTTTTTCCTTTTAAGCACTCAAATTTGTGCATTAAGACTTTGTATAATGCACTTTATAATTCAAAGTTTGGATTGGATTAGAACAATTGACTTACATAATTATTTAAAGGTCATAATTACTTATATAATTTATCTAGTGCAATAACCCCTCCATTTTTCTGTGCTGGTATGTAACAAAATAAAAAGGATAACTGGAGCATATGGTCACCAATCAGTGTCTAGCCTTTTAATCTAGTCTAAATAGCATAGCTTATAGGGATCATCCATTTTTCCCCGATTATCATCCTCCCTGTTTTCTCATGACAATGCATAAAAATGATGATCCCTTACATACTTCACTAATAAACAGTGACAATTTATTATTTTGTATGTATTCTCACACCATGCATTTTTGTTGGTAAATTGTCAACCCGGAAGCTAAGGCCAAATAAAAAAAATTACTAGTTTCTTGTCGCCTCATGCATCCATTTTCTCTGCCTCACCAATTTTATTTATTTTTTATTTCCATTATTTTATGAAATGTACAAAAATCTGGCTGACTCACAGGCATCAGTAAAATTCTTCTCTTGATCGTTCAAGGTTGGGGAGATGTTCCAGGGTGAATTTCATTTGAACTATTATGAATTAAAACTCAATACATATGCTATGAATCATGTCTAGTGCATCTTTTATTTGCTTTAAATGTGTCTACTTGGAAAAAATGAGAAAATAGTAGTATTTCCCATCGGCCATCTTGGATTTGCCATTTCGGAGTTAAACAAAATTGCCCTCATTCTCCTTTCTCCCGGGAAACTACTATTTTTTTTTACTTGACCTTAAATTTATTAGTATAAAATTCATTAATTATATAAGTGCTTTTTTCATACTGTACATCATACTAATATTTTTAAAGAGGAACTTTGAAAAAATTTAACTTGTTTTTAATGTTTTCAAGTTTTGAAAAATCCATCTGGTAAGGTACAAAACTTGAATAATAAAGTTCCATATTTTAATTAGCTTTAAATTCAAAATTAGAACAATTAAATATTTTCTTTACCAAATTAATCACATAAATATATAATTCCTGTACTTCAAAATGAATTGTATTTTTGGTGTCTTGTTGGAAATCTATAATAACTGATGGTCTGTTAAAACAATGTTTTAGGTGAATTTGTGAAGGTTTCCATATCTTATGATAGATTATAATTAATCTTCAAAATATAAAAAACTAACAAAATTTATTTTTCAATATTTTCAGGCGCAGCTATTCTGCCTGTCATTTCCATTGACTATGAAAACCTGTTAGAAAGTGGAGCTGGTCTGACGTTAAATCAACAGCGAGGATTTTATATATTTGCGCTGTCGTTAATAGCTGTAGGAACAGGGGGGATTAAATCTAACGTGGGACCATTTGGTGCCCAGCAACTTGAGGATTTGGGAGAAGGAGCAATACAAACTTTCTTTAATTGGTAAGTATTGCAAGATATGATCACCATAGTAGCCATTGTATAGATTTATACAATTGACTGAATAAAGTTTTAAACTATGGTTATATCATACATGTCTCCCTCATTTAAAGACTCCTCTAATTGAAGACCACTTTTCAGTGGTCCCAAATTAACAAATGTTGTTTGGCTCTATTATTTTAATTACAGACCATAGTTGCTAAAAACCATGGAAACACTGATTCCAAATGTGGTCTTTAATTGGAGGGATAATTCTCATTATCAATATTATTTTGGTATATTGTTATTATTATTCATATTAGAATTATGTTTAATACTATTATAATTGTTACTAATGTTATTTATTGTAAATAATTATTGTTATTAAAATTATTTTTAATATTATTGTAAATGTTATACCCGTTGTTATTAATATATTATTATTAATAATGATGTTAATGTTAACAGGCTGATTTCGATGCTGTTGTTGTTTATTGTAATGTCATTTTTGGAATTATTGCCATTTTATTATCTTATTTTGTTACTGACAGGTTCTATTGGTTCATCAATGTAGGATCGGCCATTGCTTATTCAGTCGTTGTTTACATACAACAGGAGATAAGCTTTGCTTGGGGCTATAGTATCCCAGCATTTTCCATTTTACTTGCTACGGTGGCTCTTTTAATAGGAAGGAACAAATATATAACAACTCCACCAGAAGGTAAGTATTCCTTATCCAAATTTCTTACCAAATTTTGAGGATATTTCCCGTACGATTAAAATCGTAACGGTACTGGGTTTGGTCTACAGGAGCTCGTGTTTCGTACTAGGTCATTCCATTCATAGAAAAAGCCTTTAATGCATGTACGCATCAACATCTACTTATTGTAGCGTATGAAAAAATAGGCCAACGTTAATTTTTAATGCATAAAAATATATTCGTTTTTTAATCACTTATTTAATAATTAATTATCTAAATTACTTGATAAATTATTTATTAATATTAAAATATTAGAATATTTATGTGTACAAAGTAGATAGTATATAATAGTAAGAAATAAGGCAGTTTTATGGTAGAATATAGCATAGTAGGTAGGTTTAAGAAATAGGAAAATATAGGTTAATAGTTTAGGGTGTAGCTTTTGAATGGGAGAAAAATGCCTGAGGTCACAGTCTGCACCTGAGTCCTATGTCGGCACTAAGGCCTATAATGCATCTTGAGGATATTTCCCGTACGATTAAAATCGTAACGGTACTGGGTTTGGTCTACAGGAGCTCGTGTTTTGTACTAGGTCATTCCATTCATAGAAAAAGCCTTTAATGGTGAAAGCGTACCTGTCATTAGCCATAGTAGCCTAGGTCAATACATAACACCGGCTGTATAAAATTTATTATAAGATTGAAAATGTTAATCTTATTGCAATAGTGATACACTATGCACACGGTTTAGTTATTGTTATTTATTCGTTAACGTTATCATATTAATATATAAATTTAATGTATTGTTTAAGTATGAATTACTATGTCCATGTTATCTATTAAAATTGTATATTTAAATAATATAGTAATAGGCACTGATAGCCAAGGTCTAGCCTAGACCAGTCCTAAAACAAATGAATATGCGAGTGTATAAAACTATGAAAAATATAAAGAAAAAAACGCAAAATTGTGAAAGAATAAAGGAAGAAGGAAGAATAGGAAAGAGATTTGGAGCGGCTGAAATATTTTCCGAAAATATACAATAGTAGTCAATATGCTATTATTGCATTACATTTTTGTAAACAATTTTGGGCACTAATCGTCAGAGGTCTCAGTGCCACAGCCTACACTTTTCATAATTCGAAATCGAATCGGACCTTAAGTGATTTCCAAAATCTCTTTATATGAAATAAAGAATAATTAACGATTTTAATCGTACGGGAAATATCCTCAAGAAATATTTTTAGGCTACTGAGTCTACTTATGCATTTAAGAAATGAGGTGTGTGCTCCATAAAACCAATTTTTTAAACTTTATTCCTAGTTGTAATGACATATTTGTTTGTTTGTTTTTTTCAAGTTTTTATCTATTTGTTTTTGCCCTTATTGATTACTTTATAAACTTAAGTATAACATATAAATATTACTAGTAATTTTTGTGCTATTTTTCTTGTTACAATGTTATATGTTATTCTGATAGGTAACTTTTACAGAGACCTGTTCCCTTTATTGCTATCAGTCTCTTATTTAAATTAAAGTTATGAATATGAATTATGAAATTTGCAGGAAGTATACTCTCAAGAATATGTAAAATAGTTTGGCAAGCATCTTCTAAATGTTGTGGAGGCACTAGCAAGGATGTGGAAGTGGAGAATTGCCTTGACCGAGCCAAGGAGGAGAATGGCGGATCATTTCTTAGCGAGCATGTGGATCAAGTGAAATGCTTAGCAAGAATTGTACCGGTATTCCTTTGTATAATTATGTACTGGACAATATACTTTCAGGTAAGTGCGCTTACAATCCATCATCTTTATTTAACAGCTAATCTTAACCAAAAGATAGCAAGCTTGATCGGGGATCAAGGTTTAACACTAGCCACTAAGTGCAAGATCGGTGGTTCAGTGGTTATGACCCCAGGCTAGTTATCTGGAGGTTGTGGGTTAGATTCCCACCTGAATCACTTACATGATTTTTTTTTCACAAGTATGTGGGAACATACTGAGCATTCAGTACATTAACACGTCAGACAACGCAAAGCATTATTCCTATAAAAACTTTTCTGATGCAACACATCATCAAAAAAGCCTGATCGCATTGATAACAACAAAAATGTAGGAGTGGAAGGAGCATTTGGTAGGACCAAGAATGCCATTGACTTTCATTTCTTAATTATAACATAAAACAATTATTATTTCCTCTGTTTGTTTCAGATGCAAACTACGTACATTCTTCAAGGAGAGAGAATGAAACTTGTTTACAATAGTTTCACATTTCCTGTTGCATCGCTAAGTCTTTTCAATAACATAAGTCTACTCCTGTTGATTCCAATATTGGACACCGTTGTTTATCCATTCCTTGAAAGAAAAGGCTACAAATTGACCCAGCTTAAACGGATTGGTAGGTGTTTTTCAGTTTTAGTCTCAATCGTAAATAAAGGCTGGACATCGCTGCTAGGAATGATGATGATAATAATAATAATTATCATTTAGCAAAGTGAAAGTTCAATCTTGCAAGGACTAATGAATATGCATGAGCCCGAACTGGTAACTGCTGTTAATTCCTCATCAAAACATCAGATAGAGTTTAAGTTTGAAAAAGTAAAGGACCTCAGGAAGTTAAATGTCCCTCAAATATATTTTATTTTTATTATTCTAATTTAAAGACCAAAGCTGCTAAAGGCCATGAAAACCCTGGTCCCAAAGTCTTTAATTGGAGGGAGACCTGTAGCATTAAAATAATGGACCCTTCCTCTAAGCCCCCACCCCCATTAGATATTGTTGCTAAGGTTTTGCAAAATTACAGTGTAAAAACATATGCAAACATGTGCTTTTGTAACATGAGTAAATCAGAATCAGCAACTTTATTATCTCCAAATAAAGAAATTGAACGCTTGATAAAGTTTAATACCTTGCATATAAAAATACATTCAAATATTATATACAATAAAATGTACATTTTACATTCAAAGTACATTCAAAACATATCAGATACAAAAAACGTTACAATACTAAAACATCAAAAATCGAACACAGAATGGAAAGACATTAAAAATACATTCATAAAATACAATATTATACAATACAGCCGTATACATTACTTAAAACATCAGTTCAAATTAAAAATAATAAAATACAAAAACATCAAAAATCAGAAATGAAAAGCTGCATATTGTTGTTCATACTAAATACTAAGCATAGATAGGATTTATACTGAATATTAAGTATAGATCCCATCCATACCCAACACTCAGTATAGATCCTATCTACAATAGTTCGTATTGAAGAGTTTAATGCCCATGGGGCTAATACCCACGTAGCCCAATGGCTACCGCGATCAAGCATACACCATTGTCCGATGATAACTCGTCGACATCAAATACACAGCACCCCTGGCGCACATATAGGAGCTCCATGATCCCTAGAAATATTTTTATTTTATTTACAATTTTCTTCTCATCATGTCTGCCAAGGTTTTGGGATGTTCTTAGCGTCATTGTCTATGGCAGTGGCCGCCATTGTTGAGGTTGCCCGGAAGGACATAATGCAAGATGGCGGATATTTTAACCAGATCCTGGCGGATAAAACATACAACGCTTCCAATTTGAGTGTGTTTGCGCAAATTCCGCAATACTTTATAGTAGGAGCAAGTGAAGCTTTCACCAGCATCACTGGTTTGTAATATTTCGATAATTTTTTGTATTTTTAGTTATTTTTATTTCATTTGTTTATTAGTTTTAGTATACCTACATTGAGAATATTTATATGAGACACATGAATATCATCATAATTATCATTATTACCATTATTATTATCATTATCGTTATCATCATTACTATTATTTTTTTTAATGTTTTTATTATCATTATTATATAATTATGGTTATGGTTTGCCACAATATAATATTATCAAATTTTCATATTTATTGTATCATAATTATATCAATTTCTTGCCATTTCTTAGGCCTGGAGTTTGCATATTCACAGTCTCCAAAGGTGTTACAAGGCGTGGTAATGGGACTGTTTCTCTTGACCTCTGGGCTAGGTAGTTACGTTGGCTCCTTACTGGTGATCATCGTTAATGCAGCAACGAAAGGTAGGACAAAAGCTGAAATATGTACGCTGAACAATTTGTGTTCAGTTCACTTGGCAGTGCACTATTTAACTGAATGTTTAAGCTAAAATTGAAACCTAAATACTCTGAAATCACACCTTTCGCTTCATAGCACGTATTTTCTTTACAAAAGCCTGAAATTATTGAGCCAGGCTTACATTATCAGTCTTTAAGGTTTATATGTCTGTAAATGAATTTTACAAGGGAGAAACTAATATTTTTTTTTGGTATGGATATTATTTAAATTTCTGCCTCATAAAATTATATTATAAAATGTATTAGGAAAATTGTGGGAAAATTTGACTTGTAGATTCTACCCATTACACACGAAAATAAAACAGAAACTAGATTTACAAGTAGAATCTACTTAGAAAAACACTTCTTATCTTAACTACCATGTAATGTAATCAACTATCGCACCACTTTATTGTACGTAGTTATCAATTTCCATTTAAGCAAGATTTACCTATTTTGCGTACGTTAGAAATTAGACAAGACCCCTTGCATTTTACAAAAGCTGAATTTGATATATTGTTTTACACAATTATTACCAAAGTTCCTCTGGTGTAAGCCCCATTCCCTTGAACACAAACAGGCTGAGTGTGGGCTTATACAGGGGAAAAATATAATTTTGATGTTGAATATTTGACAGCATTGTCCTATAATTTTTATGGATGGCCAATTTTATGGATGGTCTATATTGTATGTATGTTTTTCACATTTCATCATGCTTGTTTTTGTATTGCACTATGTTATAAATGTAAAATAACCATTTGACCGGGAAAATAATGGTACATAAAATTTGGCGTAATGTAGGGCATGGGCTCATCCCAATTGTCTTTATACTTGATGTTTTGGTATTATTATATATTTGTCATTCATTACTGTATTGTCCAATCATTGTAGGTCATGAGTGGTTTCCGGATGAAGTTAACGATGGTTACTTAGAATACTACTATATCCTGTTGTCTCTAATGATGATCGTCAATCTGGTCATATATTGTTTTGTTGCGCATTACTATACATACATGCAATACCCAAGTCAAATTCCAGAGCCACTGGACCATGATGGAGATGTCGAAGGTGATGCATCAGATAAAATGAAAATGAATGGAACAATGCATCGACAGAATAAGGCACTGCTGGTGAAGGAAGGCACTTTGTCTGAATCTGAAATATGATAGATAATGATCAATGATGATAAATAAAGTTTTATGCATTTAAGGCATTCATGATTAGCGACATAAATGCAATAGCACCCTCATGAGATGCAGCTTTATGTTGGTGCTTGTCAAAGATAGCGCACTCACTGAATTACGTACTGGATTTTCTGTAATGCGAACGGTGCTCAAATTACTTGTTAGTATTGTTAGTTTTTTTGTTAGTTTTTTTGTAGAGGGTGCAATTCCATGAAAGCTTTCAATGCCATTGTGCACACAACAGTGGCGTATCTAAGGGTGCACAGGGGTTGCATGCCACACTCTCCCCACAAAAAATACTTTCCCCCACCCCCATCTTATGAAAATATCTGAACCAAGAAAATCAAGCACAAAACTTAAAACTCACCTCAAATCGCCTTATTTTGCGAGCTAGTCCCCCTTTACCTAATCACAAGCTCCCCACTCATGGGTGTATGCCATGGGGTTCGGGAAGATCGTATGACCCCACTCCCCCAAATTTTTAAAGGTCCACATTTTTCCCAAAGACATTTTTTTCCAAAGACATTTTTTTCTAGGGCCTTTTCACAAATGACATAAATGAAAAAGCATTGATGAGATACCAGCAATGAGTCCAAAGACCTTGCCAATTGCGTGACGTAACCTATCTCAATTCCAGCAATTCTGAAACTGAGCCTGCCATCCGCTTCAATCTGGTGGCGCTGTAATAGATTTTCCTGTCTCCCACTGAAAAGGTCCAAAAAATTATGATCACGACCCACCCAGAAAAAATCCTGGATACACCCCTGCCACCCACTTCACATTTCCATCCCCATCAACCCCACCCAAGTGTGCTCTCTTGTTATAAGATCTTTGATGCTTTTTCTACATTAATTTTCATAAAACTATTGACTCAGGAAAAAAATTAATAAAGAGCCATTATTTTTAATTAAAAAAAAAATTTTAATGAATAAATTTATTTTGTCATGGAAAGGTCTCTAGCAAATAAAGAGTTGTTTCCGAAAAATGCTACAAGGGTAAAAAGGTTTTAATGATACATTGTTTTATTAAGCACTCAGAGTCTTTCTTGTATAGGAAAGTTTATAATAATATAATTATATATAATAAAAAATAAATGTTGAATTATAATTGTTAATACAATTATACAATATATAGTGCAAAACTATAAATTTTTTATTATGTAAAAAATTTAAATCCAATTCGGCTTTGTTCAAACGAAGAGTAATCTTTTCATATTTTCTTAATAAAGAAACTGGTAATCTTCTTGAACTGAAATCTTTGATAATAGAACCAAATGGACGTAAGTTGACAAAAAATACAATGCATTTTAAAAATAACACAAAAGATTTAATGGAAGACATGTTTCGGTTTACC